TGGGAAGTGGAGCTTGTGGCTCATGTGATAGAGCACCAACCTTGAGCAAGAAAGAGTGCAAGGCCCTGAGTTCAAGCCCCTGTACTGGCACAGTAAAAGAAAATATAATACATATTTGGTGCTGTATAATACATATTGGTCAGGCTGTTCTGAGCATTTTATTTGTATTAGTTTGTTTAACCCTCACTTTCATGTAGAAATGGATATCATCTTTAGATGGACAAACTGGGTTTAAAGTGGCTAAATGGCCTGTCTGGGGGTGACACAGAGCTGGGATCTGGGTTTAGGCACTCTGTTTCTAGAAGTATGTTCAGGGATGAGAAGAGGAAGGTTGTCCAGGATGGCTGTGGTGGTGAATAGGAGGCAGGCTTGATAGTCCCAGGGTGCTTTAAGCATTGGTCCTGGTGGGCCACAGAAGACAGGAAGTCTTGCCTCAGGTGGAGGTGGGTGGACAGTGAGGTGAAGGTCCTTGTATTTTTTATAGGATGCCAGAGTAGGTTAGGTAATGGCAGTTGGGATTAGTAAGAAGAGGAATGTGTCTGTCAGCTAGTTCTAATTCCTGAATGTGTTTTACTTTTGATGATCTCAGAGGACTAAAAAAAGAACTTTAGACAAAGTCAGGAGAAATAGAGGACTAACCATAAAATTTATACATTGTGATTTATGAGTGCGTACTCTAGAAGCTAGTTCTTAGTTTAATTAGATGTTGCTCATTATTTGGGTGATGTCACAGGCTGGGTTCTTAGGAAGCTTACTCGGAGATATCAATTACTGTACAAGACATTTATTAGGCAGTACTCTCAGCTGCACCTTTGGAAGGGAGAAGAGGAAAACAAGAGTGGGCAGAGGGAGAGACGTAGATGCACTGTAGTCCCAAATGGGGCCTCAGCTTATTACCCCACAAGGTGTTCTGGAGAGGCCCAACAGAATTGTCCCAGGCTGGCAGACACAGCTGGGTCTTTCCAGTTCACCTCTCCCACCATAGGTAGAACATTGAGTTCTGGCTGCACCAGTAGACAATAAAGTTCTGCCTCTCCTCACTGAGGCCCATAGATGGGAGCCTTCTTTTGGCAATGATCCCAGCCATTGGGGCAGGAAGTCTTTCATTCCTAAAGAGAGGTCTGCTTCAAGTACCATAGTGCACACAAGATACAAATTGCAAAAAGTGTGTGTATGTGTGTACACGTGTATACGTACGTACATATGTATGTTCGTGTTCTAGGGCTTGAACTCAGCGCCTAAGTGCTGTCCCTAAGCTTTTTCACTCAAGGCTGATGTTCTGCCACTTGAGCCACACCTCCATTTCTGGCTTTTTGCTGGTTAATTGGAGATAAGAATCTTCCAGGTTTTTTTGGATTTGTTTGTCCTGGCTGGCTTTGAACCAGGATCCTTAGATCTCAGCCTCTTGAAAGAAAAGAAAAAGGATTTAGGAGTCTGTATACCAATTCAGCTTAGCCTGTTCCTTTCTATGAAATCTGAGGCCAGTCAATCACTTAACCTTTGAGAAGTTAATTTTCTTATCTATAAAGTAAATGAGAGGGCTGAGAATGTGGCTTAGTGGTAGAGTGCTTGCCTAGCATACACAAAGCCCTGGGTTTGATTCCTCAGTATCACATACGCAGAAAAACCCGGAAGTGGCACTGTGACTCAAGTAGTAGAGTGCTAGCCTTGAGCAAAAGAAGCTTGGGGATAGTGCCCAGACCCCAAGTTCAAGCCCCAAAGCTGGCAAAAAGAATAAACATTAAAGTGAGAGAGATAATTCATACTGTTTTATCAGTTTGAAATAAAATGTACATAAAAATCCTGTACTTGTGGGCTGGGAAGGTGGCTCAGTGGTAGAGTGCTTGCCTTACATGCATAAGGCCCTGGGTTCTATTCCTCAGCACCACATAAGCAAAAAGAAAAAAGCTGGAAGTGGCGCTGTGGCTCAAGTGGTAGAGTGCTAGCCTTGAGCTGGAGCTGAGGGACAGCGCCCAGGCCCAGAGTCCAGAGTTCAGGCCCTACGACCAGACCCTCCCCCCCCACCCCCCAAAAAAATCTTGTACTTGCCAGGCACCACTGGCTCATGCCTGTAATCCTAGCTACTCAGGAGGTTGAGGTCTGAGGATCATGGTTCAAAGCCAGCCCTGGTAGAAAAGTTCACGTGGGACTCTATCTACAATTAACCACTCAAAAGCCAGAAAGCGGTGCTGTGGCTCAAAGTGGTAGAACTTTGAGCAAGAGAGCTCAGGGATAGTGCCCAGACCCTGAGTTCCAGTGCCATGACAAACCAAAAGAAAAAAATGATGTACTCATTTGGACTAATTCACAGTGTTATATAAAATAACACAAATAAATGTACATAAAAGTACTCTCTAAACAGTAGTGCCAAGAGGGGTGGGGAGGAAAACTAAAAGACTTTGGAGACCATTCACATCACATTTCAAATGAAGAGCCCCAGGGCCCTTAACAACTACATTCAGTTATATAAGCATCAAAATAAAGGAAAGTGTGCTTGAATTTAGCAGATGTGCTTGCGTTACACATCTTTATGCATCTATTTAAATCTACAATTAAAATCATACTTCATAAATTTGAGCTAAATTTGAGACACTTTAAGTGTAGTGTGTGTGTGTGTGTGTGTGTGTGTGTGTGTGTGTGTGTGTGTGTG